TCAATTTCTGCTTTATATAACTCAGTTTGCCTGATTCTAGTGTGTATCAATGCATTAGTAATGTTCACTAAAGCTCTAAACTCTTAGTCATGCAATTCAATTGTATGGTTTAATGAATTCATTATAGTTGCCTGTTCACCTATTAAATGAATCATTTCCTTAGATACCTGTCTCTATCATTTTACCTTCTCATTTAATTTCTGTAAATCATCGGTGATTGCAGTTCAGAATAAGAACTTCAAAATGCTTCCACCCACATTTATTAAACCTTATTTCTGTCGAGTTCTGTCTAATATCGATACGCTATCTTTAATACCTTTTAATTCTAGTAACAATTCACCTATCTTGTCATGATATTGTCCAATCAGTGTTTTCAATTAGTCCTTCTTCTAAGTTTCTTGCTAGCTATAAGATGGCTGTTCCCTGATATCTCGTGCTGTAGTGTCCTATCTTTTGAACTTTCTACATCAAACTAATGCATTATTAACATTATGCTTTCCTACCGCAGCTACTTGTTCTCTTCAACTAGCCTTACCTACTACTATGTTCTTAGGTAGTATTACTTTTTCTTCATTTACATTTAACACTTTTATAGGCACTGTTTGTCTCTCTCGGACACATTACTAATACAGGCAGCTATATAAACTCCTGTTTCTTCTATCTCAATAGGTTCAACTAACACTTCGTTACACTTAAAGTCATCTACTTTAGCTTCAACAATAAATTGACTTCTTGCAGGTACTTCAGTTACTTAACTAATCTTACAGGTACTCTTTCTTTCAAATACTCCTGTTTAGATGCTCTGTTGCTTATGTTAGGCATAAGTGTAGTCATCTGAGGGGTTTGAATTACTATTTTCCTGTTTTAAAGTTTTATTTGCTAACTTACTCTACCTTATCTTACTATCACTCACCTTATTTTTACTACCATCATCACTTCTGTGTACTCTTATTCACAGGCTTTCCTTTAGAACACATATTATTCTTACTTCTCCAACTGTTTCGTGTATCAATATATTGTAGATGATCAGTGCTTTCGTGTTTTGACTGTTGATTCTTAGCCTTGCTAATGCTAGCGTTAGACGTCTGACTATTAACTTTAGCCAGCGGGAAGGTATCATGGGTCTCAACTGTTACACAAGTCTGAGGATTCAAAACTTAAGCTTTCCATTTCCATGCATAGGTTACCCAAAGTAAGAGATAAGTGTCATAAGCCCTTAAGAAATCTTGCCCTATGATACCACCTGTTTCCAAATCTATTTGCTTACAGATGTAAAATGACTGTTCTAACTTTCATATGTACACTATATTTACCTAATGTTTTAATAGTATGTCCTGTTATAAAAGTTAAAATACTTCTGGAAACTTCTTTCCAAGCATTATCTAACAATGTCAGGTTTTATCTACTAGTTCTGCACTTAGTAGCAAAGATTGAGCACCTGTATCAACAACAACTGACATATTACACCTTCGATTTTTATTACAACTATTGACAATACTTCATTAAACTATTGACACTCAATCTCTTATCCCAAAATGCTGGAACTACCTCTACTTTTGCTCTGTAATTCCAGCAGGGATTATGTTTTTTTGACTAAATTGAATGTGGGCCTACCGTTATTTCTTGGGAACTTTCCTCTGTAAGCTCCAGCCTTTTGGGCTTTTCTGTTTTCTGCCTTTCATTGACGTCGGCAATCTCGAGCTATGTGGCCCTTAATGCCACAATTAAAACAAGCAATTTGCTCATTTCTTTTCTGTTTCTGGAAGCAGCTCTTTGCTATGTGACCAACACTGGAAGCTGTCAGCTTACTTTGTTTATTTTGCCAATCTGCTTTGCTCTTTTCAAGCTTGTTTACTACATTTACAGCAGAGTGTTTAGGCCTGTATATCTGCTTTTCTCTCAAGTAGCTACTTCAATCAGATCAAGCAAAGTTACTTGAGGGGTATTTGCTTCATTTACATAACATCTAGCTGCATTAATGTACAACCCTTGTTCATATTCAGATTTTAAAGTATCTTGTATTATAAACTCGTTCCTAGTATTCCTGACTACCTGCAAGTAGTTCTGACACTTTATTGGTCAATCCATGCAATTCCCCGGGCTATACCAAAACAAGAACCAAAATTCTCAAGTAATTGGTTACTGTGATGGTGAGTGCTCTGGTTGCCTTTTTACTTGTACTACTACACTGGTCTGGAGTAGCAGATGTCACATCAAAGCACCGATTTGAGATGCTACCATATATATTTTGGGGAGTCTATACTGTACTACTAGATTGGCGTCAATAACTTATCACTGTCAACTCATGACTGGAGATTTTCTCACCATCCTCACTGTAGCTTCATTTTTTATAACTCTTAACTCATGATTCTCAATACTAACTAACCAGCTAACTGTGCTTCGCCTAGTTCTTGACCTAATTTTGTAATACAGGCATCCTTACTTGCACCATTTCTTCATGTATATGTGGCACACTCAGAATACTTAAATCTCAGAAGCTTCTTTCTTAAATTTCTTTCTTTTAAATTACTGAAGCAATTGTAAAATTCCTTCAAAAATATCCAATTGCTTCAATTTGAAAAGAGATAACCACGTCAGTAAAGCACTTTATCTATTCTTTTTCAAGGCTTCTCAGGTTCTCTGAGGTCAAATAGTGTGTAGCTAAAAACATGCCGTCATTTCTTTTTACATTGAATTAAATGTCTCCCACAAGTGCATGCATATGTATGTTCTGTATAATCTTTTTCTATTTTAATAAATTTGTACTGACCTAATTGCTTGCTATTAAAACACCATCTTGTTTATTCATGTAACATTTTAAAGATGTTCAAAGTGATAGCTTTTCTTTGAAAAACTTCTAAAGTTAGCAAAGGCAGTTTTGCAAGGAATTAGTGATACTAGGATCAGTAATCAAAATGAACCCTCACTGTACAGAATATATCATCTGGTATTTTTGTGAATTAAGAATTTCACTTATGTGTACATGCTTGAACAATATGTTACAACAGTTGTAACAACTTGTGCTGATTATTGGAGAATTAAACTTGTTTATTCTTTCAGCTTTTTAACAAACATATTTTATAATGATACCACATTCTGAGTGTATGTATGGTGCATAGTGTAACATATAAGTGGTGTATTAAAACTACATTAAAACCTTATCAAGATAACTGCAATGCCTTTATATTAACTTTAAACAATGTTGAAGCAATTCTATAAAAACTTAGATTTATAACATAACATAATGTTTTGGGACAACATGGGACCTATTGGTCAATCTCGGCTGTTTCATCTTCTAAACTAAATCAAAATAATAAAAAATAATAATAAAAAAGAACCTTAAAACCAGCCCTTATTATTCATATACTTATCAAGCTTTTTCTTAAACTCACTAAAATTTACTGCCTCTACAACATTTGAAGGCAACTCATTCCAAAGGCCAACCACCCTATTAGAAAAATGAAACTGTCTTAGCTGAAGACTCTTACCTTGCCAAAATTTATATTTGTGCTCCCTAGTCCTACTATTCTCACTGTTAAGTATGAAAAAAGATGATGCATCAACACTATCAATTCCCTTTACAATCTTAAATGCCTCAGTTAGATCCCCCCCACCCCTGTTAACGTTTTGTCATTATTGACAGTACTGTAACATTCATGTTTAACTTTGAATTTGCATATTTGTATCAAATGAAGTAATTCAAATGATCTTCCTTTAAATCATGCACTACGAAGCCTTCGTATCAGGGATACAGATAATAATAATAATGAATGTGTTGTATTTTATAAGTATGAAATTGGTTCTGAGCTACTGTAATAATTGTTAAACTTGTAAATAGCATTTAAATTGTAGTTCTTGTCTCTCGAACAATGCTGTTGTTTAAAAGTGAAAATATGTCGTATATATCTTGCCACATATGGCACACAAATTTGTTTAAAAAACTAAACATTTTTGTTTATGTGTTCTAAACAGCAAGCTGCCTGACTATTATTTTAATAATCTAACTGTCCAAATATTTAATAACATATCCAGGAAACTTGGAGCAAAACTTTATTGTCAGGGCTAACCCTTTCACTGTGGCTGAGATGTATATTTCACAGTGCATGAATATGTATGTTCTATATAATCTTTTTCCATTTTGATACATTTGTACTGACTTAATTACTCTCTGTTGAGACACTATCTTGTTTATTCATGTAAATGCTAAATATGTTCAAAGTGATAGCTGGGAAATGTGCATCCCAGATGCCAGTTGTCATAACTTAGAGCATTATATGTATACAGATTTTTTACTGGTAACATCTGGTCTTGTAAGTTCAACACAAATATTTGAGATTGTTACTGATTTTTAATCTATTTCTGCTTTTTAAATGACATAGTGTGTTAAGTTTTCAATCAGCTATATCAATTTGACTGTATGATTTGATAGTTAGTGCAAACAGTTGATCAATATTTTCTACAGATCCCTTGTTTTAGAATAGGTTTATATAGTTTGTCTTATAGTAACTTTAATGCACTTGTATGTACATTTTTAATAAGTGTAAATATATTCTGAAATTCATGCTTACGATTGCTTTATAAAGTTCCTTGATATAAACTACAAAGAATGGCAATTACAGTCTTTTTCTAATTTTTAACCATGTATACATACATATTTACTGTTACTTATATAGAGTGAGCAAATTATATGTAAGCATTTTTTGTAATACTGATTTTTCACTTTGTATTCTTTAATTGACAAGTAGGTATTAAACCTAGTAGCTATTATGGTTGTTGTTGTTTTAATGCAAAGCTATGCAATAGGCTATTTGTTCTTTGTCCACCATGGGGAAAACAAACCCTGGATTTTACTGTTGTAAATCTGTAAACTAACTGGTGACCCATGTTGAAGGGGTATTATGAATCTACAAACATAAAGGTAATATTTGTATTCTGTACTTTAATTCACTCATTGTTTTTTACTGTTGTTGAAATTATTTACTTTTTTTTTTTACCAACAGGTGTGGTTGAGTGTATGGCTGCTGGGTTGATTACAATTGCCCATAATTCAGGAGGACCTAAGTTAGACATTGTTGTGGAATATAATGGAAAACCAACAGGTTTCCTTGCACATGATGAAAAGTCTTATGCAGATGCATTTGATACAGTCCTAAAGCTAACAAAGGAAGAACAGTTGGAGATAAGAAATAATGCTCGTGTCTCTGTCAGTAGGTTCTCTGAAGAGGAATTTCAGTCATCATTCTTATCAGCAACTGAACATTTAATCAGTCCAAAGTCGAAGAAAGATTAAATGTGGTTGGACTTGTGTAAAGTTTTATTCCATGAACTTTTGTCTCTAAAATAGTTTAGTAGACTCTGCACATCTTACTTATGTTTAATCTTTTATGAGAGATTGCTATAGTGTGCTAAAAAATAAAGTGCATACTCTGGCCATTACTTCCATTTCATTAGTACATTGCTTTATGCATTATGCTTGTTTGAAGTTGTAATTTTTCAAGCTTAATTTTGGTATGTATAAGACTAGCTCACTGAATGCTGGTACACGAAAATGTACCCTTACAAAACAATAAAATACAGTGCTGTGACACTTACTTGTATTTTGTGAATTTTTATTATCATAAGAGAATTATAAAATTAGTACTTTAGTCAGCAAGGTTTTTTTTATTGTACATTTTGCTTTGAATGTTATGTTTTGGGGACTCTTGCATGTTCCTTCTTCAGGTGAGTGACATTCTTTTTTTCTTGGTAGGTAGTCAGGGTTTCCTCCTGAGCAGTCAGAGATGAGTTATACCTGAATCCTTAGTTCTTTTTTTGTTTTTGGGAAGACCAGAGGTGCCAAGTCAAATAAGATCAAGATCATGTAGCTGTACAATCATTACCAAAATACAACATAGAACAAAATACACCAACAGCAAAACATTACATATCAATTCTTAACAATATAAACATAACAGTGGAACTGGAACTTAAGGCATAAGGAAGAAAATAGCTAGTTGGGTCGTAGAATAACACTATAAGTTTATGTACTGAAAGCAAGTTAGTGTTAATTCATCTCTCTAGCGAATATAGGCCGTACTTAATAAAGGCTTAATTAATTTTAGGCCTCAGACAAGTGGGCTTACAGATTTCGGTGTCTGCGATAAAAATATTGTGTATTATTCTAGACATCCTGTATTTAATGAAGTACTTTGCAATAAAGTTACTAATTTGACCGTAGATGATTTGCTGGTCTCTGCTAGTAATAATAATAATAATAAACCATTTTTGAAAATATATTTTTTCTTTTTTATTTCCTTATTTTTTTATCATTAATAAATTTAGATTATCATATCACAGCGGTATGTTTCGATACCCGTGGTGGGCAGAACACAGATAACCCATTGTGTAACTTTGTGCTTAATTACAAACAATCATACTGTATGGTATTTTCTTAATAGCAAGAGTAAGCAAGGGGCCCCACTGGTTTATACTTCGCTAGGGACCGCCATTGTCTTAACGCGGCGTTGAACATATGACGATAATAAATGGTATAAAACGTAACATTTTAACATATAAATACTATGATGAAAATACTAAGCTGCACGTCTAGAATGCTTAGTACTCTACACGGTAAGCGATATATCTTGAAATTGCAGATATTACTAGATACCAATATAGATTTAAATTATATAATATCAATAATTCAATATTATCACTAGAAACATGACAAAACCAATATCCATTGCACGTCCGGCCAATTTGATAAATGCTGTACCATAAAATGAATATTGTACTGAATAATACGTTATTAAATTAGGTGGCAGTTGAAGACTGATATTTGATAATATGTATGTGCAAATAGAACATAAAATCATTAAAATATTGAGAATGCAGTTCTTAACCTAAGTCGCTATCCTTATTTAAACCTTATTTCGTACTGCATAAAACTAGTGCAAATATTTTTAGTTTTCCTATGAAATTGATATTAAATAACACACACCAATATATCCTGAAATGTGAAAATAAGGTAATCATACAGAGAGTCGTTATACAGAAAAAAATATTATATCATGTACTTCATTCATCACTGAATAATGCTCAAAATTCAAGAATAAAGATAATATCTTACCATTTCTCGTAGCAGGTTTTTGCACACGTACAGATATTGCTTAGCGTGCTTGCTAATTTTTTTGCAGCTTTGCTTTATGAATTTTTCGAAAGTTTTCTGGACTCTGAGATTATGTACAAAACCCAGTGACTTATTATTCAATCTCATTGTGTAAGTTCTTGTTCGATTTGCAACTAGATTTAGTTCCTTCAGTTATGATGAGTAAAGCTTACCCAGAATATCGAGATTACAGATAGGAGTAGTGTCAAAAAGTTCATGAAATATTTTGATGTGTGTCAAAAGCTCTGCCAGGTATTATCGCATGTAATCTATTCACTTAGTATCTCACTTATAATTCCTTCTTGAGCATCCCAACTCGATGATACAATATGGGCAAACACTTATTATGGCGCTTTACTTCAGTATCCGAAATATCACCAGCATTGTGTAAGGTTTCATAAAAGTTTTCTGCTTTTTAGTTCACTCGTATAACGCCGAACTTTGATGTCAATACTCATTGGAGAAGAAATATTCAAGTGGAATGTCACAAAAGGAGAAACTTTCTAACAGTTACTTGCTTTATTCTTAGATCTTAACAGGGGGGCTTTAACAGAACTGTGTTCATACACACCAGCTTTTTCTTCCTTTCGCTTCCGTACACTGTTAACATTTAAACTGCTTATTGTGTTACTGCATGTCTTGTGCCTGGAAGTACTGTGTGCAGAGATTTTTTTTTTAATTCCAACACCTTCATCTGACAGTTTCATGTTTGATTTGAAAAGCAAGACATTTAGCTCTTGAAAATGGCAGAGTTTAGTTACTACAATTTGTACAGGACGCCTTGATCATGCATTTTTTTTGTTTCAGCTGGACACTGCAAGAACTTTTATGTGTTCTTTTAACCAAAAATACACCATCCCGTCAAAGAATGGGTTCTAAGATTATTCTTCGGAACTAAATGCAGAGAAATCTAGAAACCTATGCTGCTTTAGTGTTCTCAGGAGCACTCATTTTCTTATACATAAAGATAGTAATCGCAAATAACACGAGGAATGGCAGAAAATGTATTACAGATATAAAGTAAGTTCCGAGTTCAAAAACAAAAAGAGACCAAATACAATATAAAAACATAATTCAAAGTAATTTTCATTTATTCAAAACAACCAGAGAAGAGAGGAATGCTGAGAAAGACAAAAAACAAGTTAGCATCATTTTCTAAATAGAGAGAGCTCTGTATCTCAGAAGATCTGAAGAAAAATGTCTTAGGCTGGAAAAAAAAAAGAAGAGTATGATGACTATATATAGAAAAATAACAGCGCTATCTACTCTTGAGTTTCTACGTCACTCATGTCATTGATTATTCGATAAGTAAGAATAGAGAAGACTTATACTTCAAATTCTGTTAAACTTCTACACAGTCGACTTCAATATAGTACTGTATGATGTTAAATCACATAGTTTTCCACTGATATCTTCCTAAATAAAGTTCTACATAAATGGTATCTGAAGAAGTGAAGTAATACCTACATTATTAAAAGAATGGTAAACAGGGCTAGTTGAATACGTAATACATAAACGCATAACATTATTAAAGAAATTCACTATTAAGAACATTGAACGATTATGGACAAAAACCCAGTTAGCGAATATTAAGATTCTTTACAAGGTAGGTACGTCATTGTAAAAAATATTCTATTACAAATTTATATATTTAATGTAGAAACACTGAGACCTTTTGGTAACGTAGTATGAATACGTTAAAACCGACAAGAAATCATACAAGCATACATTACAGTTTTATCAGATTTTGGTGTACATTCTTTAAAATCTTATAATGTAATAGCTAAATTATTTTGGATTCTCAAACTACATAAAAACACCACACAAATACTGGATTATTGCCGGTCTTAAAAAGCTGCCACTGGGGCTGATCAATTCTAGTCAGAAAAGATCTGAAATACACTAATATTATCATAGAAAACCGTATTAATCCATTCATTATCATTTGTAATTTTATTGGATGTAAACAGAAAATTACAAATTTTGAGGCTAAAAAGAGAAACATTTGATTTTAGCTACCTTTACTCTTCCGGTTGGACAGTAGTAAGTTTACGGATACAATGCTACAATCCAGGGTTCGATTTCCCGCGGTGAACACAGAAGATAGCCCAATGTGGCCTACGCAACAAGTCACGTGAGCTATCTGTCTAACATTTTTACTACAGCTTCATTTAAGAGTAAAAGTGGACCATTTTGAGTTTTTTTGTCATTAGGATTAAAGATGACTGATTTAGAGAAGCAAAACTATAAGCTGAAAGCATGTGAAGATACGTAAGTATTGATTAGGCAAAGCAAACTAGATTAGTAGTTTCTAGATCAAGTTTTCAAAAGAATCATACGGGTGGACAGTTATTATTGATCATACATTGCCAAAACACAAATTTGTTAAATTTTATGAAATTATCTTCATTAAAGAGCGTTTAGCGTCACGTGATATTAGGTATCGATTGCATGGGGTAATGACAATAAATTGTTAAGTTAAATTCCATGGCGTTGCTATAAAGGAAGCTATTAACATTGTTTGAGAGGCAAAACTACCATATATTTTAAAGAATCTAGTTGGTTCTGTAAAATAAAGGTCTGTTCCAAATAATAGGGTTGCGATCCCAAAGCTAGTGTCATTTTCTTACTTGCTGTGATTTGTTGGCGTGCATTGACAAAAAGTCATGATATCTAATCAGAAACAACTTAGGTGTGAAAAAAAAGGTGCGGCCAAAAAAGGACTGAGTGTGCGACTTAAAGGAATAAAATCAATATTGTCAGCCAAACTAGTAGCTACACATTTAGCATTGATAAGAATTTTACAGCAAATATTCACTCATTAATTATCTAAGCCGCGTATTTTGTTTTACCCAACATCATTCCCCAAGTTGAACAAAAAACACGGCCTGGTTAACTAATGAATTAATATTTGCTGTAAAATTCTTGTCAATGCTATAAATGTAGCTACCAGTTTGGCCACCAATTTTGAGTTCATTCCTTTAAGTTGCACATTCAATCCTTTTTTGGCCGCACCTTATTTCACACCTGTGTTGTTTTTTTATTAGATATTATAAAGTTACACTGTTAATGTGAATTAATTGGTCAATGAACATTGTTAAGAAGGATTCAACAAGTCTTCAGCCACCAGGGGGTCTATCACTTGTGTTCTATATCTAGAATTAATCAGGATGAACAAAGGTAAAATTCTGGCAGGTTTCATGCTTCTAATTAAAATATACAAAATGTTTTTCCATAATACCCTCGCTATTAAGACAAATGCACCCATAAAGGAACTTGGGCTTACCTATTTTTTCTTTTTTGTTTTTGTTTTTACCAGTATAAACCCTGGTAATTAATAAAAAAGTAGTAGTTGCTGGGATTTAACAAAGAAGTTTAGAACTTATAAAATAAACATATGATTTGTTTCTGAGAAAATTTAGAAATTTTTGATGATGTAAAACA